ATATATATATATATATATATAACAATACTTTTAACAAAAAAATAAAAATATTATCTGCAAATCTAAAATTAATATTAGAATATTTTACATCTATAATTTCTTGGTTAAATGTTGAAGTGTGTGACCATCTTATCTAAAAGTTTAAGCTGTTAAAGAGAACACACTTTTATTATTTTAATTATATTCTCAACACTCCCCCTCACGTGCAGGCCTGATTTTTTTTAATGGGCCAAGCACGTGAAAATTCTTTTTGATTTTTGGGTAGCGGTGAGATTCGATCTCAGGATCTCTGTCTGCTCTGATACCAAGTTAGAGCGTACAAAAGAAGGGGTCAGCGTTGGTTTCACTCCAGTAACCAGGCTGCCATAAGCCATAATCGATATTTATATATATATGCTGATGATGTACATAAATTATAATCCTCGTTATAATCCATAAATGAATAGGTTTTTTTAACTTTAATTTTTTTATATTAAACAACTATAATAAACCATATATATATATATATATATATATATAATTAGAATTGAAGTAGGGGAAAATCTGAACTTAAATAATTTTCGTTCTACAATAATATTATATTTTCCTTTAAATGTAATAAGTTCATTTGATCAAGTAAGCACACTTTTACAATATAACTAATTGAGCCTTTCATTTCTCCGACAAAAATTAACATGTCATCTATGTCTATTTTGTTAATATTATATGTAATAAATAACAATATTACTTGAAAAATGTCGATTGCGTGAAACATTCACCAAAGATTGAGAAACTAAAAATAAGTTTTTTTCTTCAAAAATGTCATTTCTTCTTCTTCTTCTTCTTTTTCATTTTCTGATGAACTTAAATGTCTATTATTTCATTTTATATTTTGTTTTGAGAATATACGCACTATATTAATATACCATATCAATACTTATATATAGCATATGTAGAAAGTTCAACATATAAGATTTTTTTATACTTGTATAAAATTCTCACATTAGATTGGATTTATAAAATTTATTTATAAAATGTTTTGGCATTGTTGTGTATAAATAAATTTTGATACGAAATATGTCATTTAATTATATTTTGTAAAATCTCTAACAAATAAAACACTGCTAATCATTCGCGTGTTACTTTCTTCAGTCCTTACAATTCTGAACAAAGTTTTATTAACTGAATTTGATAAATTATTAATTTTGCTCATGCGAGTATTAATAATTAGGGTGGCATGGTACGATATTTAAAACTATAGTTTGGTAATTTCGATTCTCAAAAATATAGGAGTATATCATTATCATACAAATTAATTTGTATGGTTTGACATTTTCAAGTTTGATTTTGATATTTTGTGGTTTGGTAAGTCAATAATCATAATTTGTTTGACTTTGACTTACGTATAATAGAGAATTATGATTTTCGCTCTTTAAAAAATGTCTCAATTATATCATACTATCACCTTACACACGTATACAATATTCAAAAGAAAATACAATCAATCTCCTTCGTTAGTCAATTACACAAAAAAACATTTCAATTAAGATAAAATAGTCAAAATCGCAACATCAAAACAATAATTTGTCCTCATACTAGGTTACATATCTTTTAGTATTATTAATACTATATATGTAATTATAGTATTTCATTTTTAGCATTTTGTTAAGAAATACTGAATATCATACAAAATACCAAAAGAAAATTATAATGCATAACAAATACTATAATTTCAAAATAATAATATAAAAAATCTCATTTTTTTATTTTAATATAATAATTCGATATCTATCGTACCATGTCAAGTCTCAAAAGGCGCGAGGCAATAATAGTCGTTAGGTAAGCTTCACATCAAACCAAAATACCAAATCAGCAACATTAAAATTGTATTAACAAACATATATATATATATATATATACGTAACAAATAAAATACTAGTAGTACAAGGCATGTCAAATAAACAAATAAATATTTGAACTTTGAAGAGGCACCAAATAGGCCTGTCTGCACCAAAAAAAGAAGAAGCAAAGAGCCAAAAACAAACCAATTAATCTATTATTGTATCATTTTCAATGCTGAAATTACTACTACCAATTTGGTCTTTGTTGCCATTCATGACAGGTGGTAGTAAATGGGTGGTAAGGAAGATGATGACGACACTCTGGCCTTGCCATCTTGTTCTGCTTCTGTTGTTGTTGATGATTTTGTGAAACTATTAGTTGATTCGCCGATTCTGTTTTTCGTTCTTTCTCACAAAGCTGTTGAAATTGAGCTTGATCAAATTCGTTGTGTTGCGGTTGAAGCATTGGATAGTGGTGGTTGTGGTGGTCGTGGTGAAGTAGTTGATCAACTTTGTAAGCGGTTACACTTTTTGAAGATTGTTTATAAGTATCATTGTGTTGCTGAAGATGAGGTAAAATATTGAATTCTGCAGAGATTAGAACATTTTTTTTTTTACAATCCTTATGTATTTTATTTTAACACTGTCAAATGATCATATGTTATTTCTTCATTTTTATTGCTTATTGTTACTTCAATTTCGTTGTTTATCTTGCTGTTTTGTTGTTGTTGTTACTTTCCTTTATATCCTGTTTTGATTGCACTTTTTGAGCCTGAGGGACTATCGGAAACCATATCTCTATCCCACAAAGGTAGGTTAAGGTCTACGTACATCGTACCTTTCTAGACCTTACTTGTGGAATTACACTGGGTATGTTGTTGTAAACACCAAAAAACATATTTTTCACTGAAAAAGGGAGAAAACACGTCCTTGCTCTGTTGAACCCCTTTTGACTTCTTGGTGTGTTTAGTTCTTCATATTTGAATTGTGTGAAACGTTTGGAGAGAGCTAAGACCCCTTTATGTTAAGGGCACAGTTACAACAATGCTACTTGAATTATTACTAGAGTACCTCATCATTTGTTTGGAAATAAGTTACTGAAGAATGAGAGGTCTCTAATTATTACACAAACTTGTAATTCTAGTGAATTGACTCATGATTTTTACCTGCTGATATCCATGTACTTTTTTTTATATCAAATTGTGACTTTCTGGCTTAAGTTAGTAGTGTTTGACAAAACGCCACTAACAAACTGCACCAGTTGTACCAAGAAAAGTCATTTTTAGCAGTATACTCAGCTCACTGAAGGTAGAGAAGTTGGGTATAATGGGTATTAGGAGTAGTAGAGGTAGGCCGAAGAAGTATTGGGGAGAGGTGATTTGACAAGACATGACTCACTTGGAGCTAACCTCGGACATGACCCTAGATAGGAAGTTATGGAGGATGAGGATTAGGGTAGAAGGTTAGTAGGTCGAGCCTTGTCTAGTTTCCTTTTTCAATATTGTGATTATTACTCTCCTACTATCTTAATCTTCAATTTAGTGCTATGTGTTGTTTCTATTGCTTCAGTTATCGTATTATTTTGTTGCTGCTATTTACAAACCTAATTTTTTTTATATGCTTTACTTGAGTCAAGACTCAAGAGTCTATCGAAAACATCATCTCTACCTTCACAAGGCAGGGGTAAGGTTGCGTACCCCCCAACCTACCCAAACCCCACTTGTGGGATTACACTGGGTATGTTGTTGTTGTTGTATACTCAGCTCACTGATAGTTCTGATAAAAGTACTGGCATTTGTCAAGATATTACCTGTTGCAGATTTTGTTAAGCCAAAATCTGAATATTAACATTGACAGGTCCTTTTTCAAGCACTAGATGCACAAGTGAAGAATGTGGTCTTCACATATTCACTTGAACACAATAGTATAGATGTTCTGTTCAGTTCCATCTTCGATTGCTTGGATCGCTTACAAAAGGAGAAAAAGGAGGTTTCCGTCTTGTTTAATGAACTAACATGTAGCATAGGTACCATCCAGACAACCATTTCTCAGCATATGCTAAAAGAAGAGGAGCAGGTAATTTGCCAAATCTTCAGTATCAATTTTTCATCTGAATAGTCCCTTTCTTCTGAAATTGCTAGCAAATAAAATTTCTATGCAGATTTTTCCGTTGATGATGGAGAAATTCTCTTCCGAAGAGCAGGCTAGGCTCGTTTGGCAATACCTATGTAGTGTTCCTCTAATGATACTGGAGGATTTTATGCCATGGCTAACAGCTAGTCTTTCTTCACATGAAAAGACATACTTTCTGAATTTCATACATATAGTCTTACCTGAAGAAAAACTTATTCAAGAGGTAGATTTAAAGTAATTCTCCATCGATATTGTTAAGTGTAAAGTCCTAAGTCATCGATCTAACAATATTTTTTCTTCAAATTTTGAAGGTGTTCATCTCATGGCTTGATGATAACAAGGAAGCATCTTCCCGGTCCTGCATAAAAGATGGAAAAGGCGCTAAATTTCATTATGGAAAAGCCAATATGAAGTACATATTTGAAATGGATGTGCTGATGGTTCAGTGCAAGGAAATGCAGCACCAGAAGGCTTCAGAAGAACATAATCCAATTGATGGTTTTCATATCTGGCATGCTGCTATAACACGAGATCTAAGAGTAATTATGGAGGAACTATATCAACTACGAAGCTCGCTTTGTGTTTCAACCTTGTTGTCAGTGATTACACAGTTGAAGTTTTTTGCAGATGTTTTCACATTCTACAGGTAGTAACTTCTCAGCTAAATTCTTGTACTTGATAAAAACTCAATGTGATTTTTTTTCCTGAGTGTTGCTTTAATTTACAGCAATGCACTGGATCAAATCTACTATCCCTTGGTAGATCAATTGAACACGGATGCCCTTTCTACTTTTCATGAACAATTTATTGAAAGAAGTCAAATTGAAGAACTGCAGAGATTGCTATACTATAAGCTGCATGGGGAGATACAAATAAAGGTTTTTGTAGATATGCTTTGCCAGGAAGTGGAACTATTTGTTGGGAGGATGAACAAAAAGCTGCAGTTTCTAGAAACCGAGGTACGCCGTCTTTCCAGCTGTAGTTTTACCACAACATGATGATGCTCAAACATAGCAGGCAAATGGCATGCCTTTGGAAATGATATTTATATTGACTTCTGTTCCTCTGGTTTCTTTTAGGTGTTTGTGTTCATTAGAGAGACCTGCAGTCATGAATTGCAGCTTTGTTTATTGTACATGAGCCTGCATATGTTGCCACTTGGGTTGCTAAAGTGCATGATTATTTGGTTCTCTGCTCATTTATCTGAGGATGAGTCCAAAATGATGTTGAACAATATAAAGTTGGAATCTGCTGTAGTTAACAAGTCCTTTGCTACTCTTTTATATGAGTGGGTTCGGATGGGTTATTCAGGCAAAATCTCAGTTGAGAAGTTTAGAAAAGATTTAGAAGAAATGTTCAGTAGCAGAAGCTCTTTGTTTGAAAAGTGGAGCAAGAATTCTGGAAGTTCTTCCTCGCACTCGGAAATGCAATCCCCTGATAGACCTTATCACCCTTCAACACTTGACAACCTTGGGAAGCATGATACACCTTATTCTAATGGGATCAATCTTCGTATATTTTTCTCGGATTCACTGAATGACTTATTCTGCCTTCCTGAAACTGCTGTTGATGGTATGAGATTATCCAGTCTTGATGTAAAACCAATTGACTTTTTCCATTTCTTCCACAAAGCCCTGAAAAAAGATTTGCAGTATGCTCTTTCTCTGTCAGTTAAGTTGGCTGAAGATGTGGGACTCCTTGCTGAATTTGAAAGACATTTCCATCACGTACGATTTCTATATCAGCTGCATAGTAAGTCCGAGGATGAAATTGCCTTTCCTGCCTTGGAATCTAAGGGACAGCTCCAAAATGTCAGCCATTCGTATGGCATTGACCATAAGTTGGAGGTTGAGCAATTCGATAGAATTTCTATCATCTTAAATGAGATCACCAGTTTGCAAGGTTATGTGGACATGATTGACAGTAATAAGCTGAAATACAAAAGGTTGTGCTTAAATCTACATGATACATGCATATCTATGCATAAAACACTCACTGACCACATCTACCGTGAAGAAGTTGAACTTTGGCCACTATTCAAAGAACATTTTTCTGTTGAGGAACAAGAAAAGATTATTGGAGACATGCTTGGACGAACCAAAGCGGAGAATCTACAAGAAATGATTCCCTGGTTGATGGCATCTCTAACACCAGAAGAACAACATGGCATTGTGTCAATCTGGCGTAAAGTCACAAAGAATACAAAGTTTTTTGAGTGGCTGGGAGAGTGGTGGGAAGGTATAAAAAGAGATGAGAGTGTAAACGCAGAAAAGGGATCAAAGCTTTCTCTTGCATTGGCTGTTGATCCTTTAGAAGTTATGTCTACATATTTGTCAAGAGATGATTTCAGGAGTTCAAGCGTCTTCCACGAGAAAGGGGAGAACTTTTCATCGACAGAGTGTGCTGATCATGATTTAGATCAATCTGGACTTTTCGCTGCAGATAAATCCCAGAATGCCAAGGGAAACAAAAATGTTAATCGAGCCATAGATATATCTCAGCATTCTACTGATGTTGACAAGAAAAGATGCAATGACACAACAGACATTGCTAATCAAAAAGAAACAACTTGTCAGGATATAAAATTATATGAGCAGTCAAAGCAAAAGGATCACAAGGAGCACCATCTAATGCTGACTCAAGACAAGCTGGTTGACGCAATAAGAAGAGTATCAGGCGACTCCTCTTTGGATTCTGTAAAGAAATCACACCTCATGCAGAGCTTGCTAATGAGGCAAATACATTTTCAACTTCTATCCTTTGATTTGTTTCTTGGGAAGAAGCCATATATGGTTACATAATTACCAGTATCATAAGTATGATAATGCATAATAGTATTATAGATAACTGAATATGTTCATAATACATGTACATCATCAGTTCAGTCTCTAGTCCTGGTTTCACCATGATTTCCATGTAGTGGTTGCTATTGGATCAAGATTGGCAGTTGTGGCACCAATCAGAGAGAACCGGAAAACTGGTTCCTGCATAATCTAGTTTTTTGGTTCTTTTCCTGAATTTTAGTAGCTCCTAAAATTGTTCGACTGCACTTAAATAATGTATGTTAGAACTTAGAACGTTCAGTGATAATACAATGGAGGTATCCAGGATGACAAAGAATTGAACTTTTACCAGTGAATGTTAGGAAAAACAAAGTCAATTTTCCTCTGGACTATCGGAACACTTAAGCACCTCTACTTTTCTTCTTTTCTCTACATTTCAGTTTATTTCTTCTGCCTCTTTTATTTGACTTGACATTACAAGGATTTCTTTCAGTCAATGGATTTTGACACAGGAGAAGTCTTATTCAGAGGTTGCTACTGCAAAGGATAAGGAGAAAATCACTGGTCAATGTCCGTCATTTCGTGATAAAACAGAATCAGTTTTTGGTTGCAAGCATTACAAGAGGAACTGCAAGCTACTTGCTCCATGTTGTAATGAGCTCTTTCCATGTATACGATGTCATGATGAAATTACTGATCATTGTCTGGACAGGTGTGAGTGGGATGCACTTGGTCTTCATGCCTATTGGTAAAGACTTACTTTTTTTTCCTGCTGGTTTAACATATCCCAACTCTGGTTATGACCATGCTTGCAGAAAATCTATCACCCAGATGATGTGCATGAAATGTTTGAAGATGCAACCTATCTGTCCCAGTTGCTTAACTCTTACTTGCAACAATTTCTCCATGGCTAAATACTATTGCAGAATATGCAAAGTGTTTGATGATGACAGGTGAGTGAATCAGGTTTACATTTGATCTTGTGGGGATTATGTCCCCTCATCGAATAATTGTATATTATTGGCCTATCCTCCGTTCAAGAGCTAGCATTTGGGGTTAATCCCAAGGGTCACATCTTCACAGGCTTAAAGCGAGAAATAGTATACCAAGTAGCACACCTAAGAATTCCATAGTGTTTATTCAAATAAGTCCTATTTTAGTTCCTTGTGCAGTGGTAAGAGTACAAGACACAAAATGAGTAAGCAAAAAAGTGGAACTTTCTTAGAATGTTTAAGTAAGAAAGCTATAGGCATGAACTATGGTCATAAAAATAACGAACTCTTTTTGGGGAAATCTTAGTAGCTCAGTAGGTTGGCTACCTGAATTTTCACCTTGTTGGTGAGGGTTCATAATCCCTTCTCCATTTCCCTTCATGAAAAAAATAAAGGAAAAGAAAGGAGCTCTTGTTGTTTGTAATGAGTACAAAAGACAGTTATTTCGAACTTCATAGACTAGAATTACTTCTGCTCCAGCAAAGTGCTTCATTCACTAATTCAGTCATACAACTTTTTGAACAGACAGATATACCACTGCCCTTTCTGCAATTTGTGCCGAGTGGGGGAGGGATTAGGCGTTGAAGTCTTTCATTGCATGACCTGCAACGCTTGCTTGTTATCGAAGTCTCTCTCTATTCATACATGTCGAGAGAACTGCTTGGAGGATAACTGTCCAATCTGTCATGAGGACATTTTCACTTCAGCTACTCCAGTTAAACAACTTCCTTGTGGTCATTTCATGCACTCAACATGTTTTCAGGTATTAGACTCATACAAAGTTCCCTACTTAACCAAACTTACAGGATCTTTCAGATTGTACTGCTGATCTTTTCTTCCTTTCTCTTTTTCTCTAAATACACATCTTAGGACTACACTTTTACGCATTACACATGCCCAATCTGTAGCAAGACAATTGGGGACGTGAAGGTCAGCAAACTATTTAGTGCAATAGCTCATTAGACTGGTTCATGGTTAGAAAATGTATTGACTATGCAGCACATTTGGTACTTAATTTCAGGTGCTCTTTGAGATGTTAGATGCATTTCTGTCTGAGGAAAAAATTCCCGAGGAGTACGCTGGCCAGATTCAGGTTCATTTAAATCATACTCCCTCCGTTTCAAAAAGAATGTTTCTTCCCTTTTTCGGCTACATTTTAATTTCAATTTTCCACATGACATGTTTAAGACCACAAGATTAAAGAACATTTTGGTACATTAACATATCTTTAGTTTAAAACCATAGTATTAAGAAGTTTTCTTTACTTTCTTAGACTTCGTGCTAAATCAAAACCAGACAAACAAATTGAAACAAAGGGATTATTTTGTTTCCATGTATGAATATCTTTTGAATTGGGGTTAATGTGATATCAATCCTCTTGACACTGAGAAGGTTACATACAGGTTATATTATGCAATGATTGTCAGAAGAGAGGAACTGCTTCCTTCCACTGGCACTATCATAAGTGCCCATATTGTGGTTCATACAATACAAGGCTTATATGATCTAAATCCAGGGCTCCAGGACAAAAGGCAAATTCAAGATTTTAAGTTTACGAGTTCTGAACTCTAAGATAGGATAACAAGTGGATTTGGGATGAGTTTTTTTTTTATGCATACTAAGTGTATAATAACATGAATATAAGATCTGAGCCAAAACTACTGGCTTAATGTAGAACCCCTAACTTCAATGGTAGATTTACCCGTCTCAGACTGTAGAGGTCTAGAGGAAGTGTTGTTGTTGAATGATTGGGATGCTTCTTTCGTGGTCGATAAATAATGTATATGCTTCATTTTCTTCATACATCCTATGTTAAATTCCAAAGATATTTTTTTGTGTTTTGATTTCACCTCATTAGGAATTGGTTTTATTTTAGGAAGAAAACAAACCCGAATAAAATCCAAACTGTTTTAATGGTTAAGACAGAATATTTTTAATTTTTTTAGGAGAAAGAAGAAAGTAAAAAAAAACAACGATTCACTTGATAAATTTAGAGGAATTAAGATCTTTTGGCCACCTACAAAATGAAAGAAGAAAATATCCTGCAAAAAAGCCATAAAACTAAAAAAAGAAACTGCAAGTGACCCAAAAACCAATTCTCCCAAAAAAACACAACATGGTTTACAAAACTAACAAAGACGCTTTTTTTCTTTTGAGAATTCAAAAGTGACAAAGATACTTATCAGAAACAGTTGCAAAGCATTAAAGAAAATACAATTAAAATACAGAGCAATACATTCAGAGGAAAAAAAAAAAACAAATACCGGTACCCTAGAAAAACCCAGAAGTTACAGTCGAACGGCTTTTCTGCTTGACGAGCAAATATGGTGTCTTCCCTTTCATTAAATATCGTAGGCATCCGTAATACAAAGTTCCCATAACTTCTGGGCACTCAAAATTCTTTTCCCTCTAAGAGGAAACAACAAAATGAATATAGAGTGTATAGAAGACTTACTATTGACCATCACTAAGAGACTACAGACCAATTGCCAATCTATACAGACTTGCTTACATTGGAAGTGAAAGATAATATGATTCATTACCTGTGTACAGAAGCAATATCTCAGAAATCAAACATCTACATGTTCCTCATGACTACGAAACTGGTGGCAACTACTACTTTCTTCAACCACGCCACCTTATTGTAAGGATTCCAAAATTTTCAGATGACGCAAATCTTTGATTTTGCCAATGCTTACCAAGTATCAACAGCACCATAACTTACATTTTTCTTCCCAATCCTCTGATAACTTCCACCATGATACACATATTTGAAGAAGTTTTTCTCGCTAGCAGGCCAACTACTCCTATTTTCTCTTCATCCCGTCAACAAATTTCTGATGGTATAGTACAGTTTCTTACACAATTTTGTAACTTTGCAGATCAACAGTGCACAATATCGTCATTGCCTTTGGCAATTGAATGGAAAAGCACAGTTGCACATCTTCATTGCAGCTTAGGGAGGTATTTTTCTAAGCTGAAATAGATTACAGCTTCAAAGAAACCAACGCTGATCCAGATCATCTTTTGACTATTAGAGAGGTACCATTTGCTGGCTGGACTAGTTTACAGCTTCGAAGAAAAGGACCTGCGGTTGCAAATGCCCTCTTTCACACATAACGAGAACATCATCCCAGCCACCAATTACCTGAATAAAAAATATCCATAATAACAAAATCTTATTCAAAAGATAACAAGGAAAAATAGGAAGAAACAGAATATTACCTTTACGGTTTTGTCATCATACATGAGCCACTGTCCACGATCATGACTGTAGGCAAAACAGTGATAATGCTGTCCATAGTAGCAAACCTGAAAGAAAGAAATGTTGAGTCATAAAAGTATCCATCTTTAGACACATACCACATCAGAATTAAACAGACACTTGTTAAAATACAAACGGAACTTGGTTCTACACCCAAAAGTACTACAAAGTGATTCTTATATACAACCTAGCAACATGAAAGATACATTTAGCTTAAACATATGCAGATAAGTTCTATTTTATTTATAAAAAAAAGACAATCTCAAACATATTCAGGATTAATAGAGAAAAATCTGCACATGGGAACAAACAGAGAGAGCTATATTATTTGAGATATGTTTTGACCCAAACTCTGGGTGGAAAACAGTATATGTTGTTGACACAAACAAGGAAATACCGAAAAAATGGAATAAACCTGTGCTGACCAAATAGTCGCATTTATGCATCAATCATAAAAATACGGCTTTATGTATAAAAAAGGGCACAATATCACAAGTACTTCTTTCATGAAAGAAGACAGAAAGTAATCCTCAATTGGTTGAAACCGTAAAAAATAAAAATGAACCAGCTGGCATGTACTATTTTTAGAACAAAAACCAATTGGCATGGTTTTATGAATATATATAACATTGACAAGGAACATGTGAGATTTTTCAAAATTGGAGCAGGAATTTTCTGAAATATGAATGGATTTGTATATTCAGTGCCAGTGACTTGATTATATTTTGGCTCGAACTAGTTAAGGGATTTTCAATACTAATTCCCTAGCAATACATAAAAGGAAAAAAGTCAGCAGACAAAAGAAAAGAAACATTACCACAGAAATTAGGCGATGTTTGTTTTTCGGATCAAGACCACGATAAAGGACGCCGATGTCCACTTCAGTAGATAAAGCTGATAATGTCGCTTTTATGTCATCTACATCCTCACAAGTATTCTGCCAACCCAAAACTGCGGGGAGGAAGAAACAAGTCACATTAGAAACAAATAGATTCTCTTAAAATATTTACATTACCCATTGGCAACCAAAAAAATTAGAGAAAGGAGGGAAGGGGGAAACATCAGAACTAGTTACCCGTTGTGAAAATATGTGGTGGAGCAGAGAGAATGTGATGAATATAGTTAAGTTTCTCACATCCACCAACCTCAGGATCGCAAGCCAACTGATGGTTCATCTCAACAAGATTCAGAAGCTCGTCAAACGAGCTTTCTGGACACATAACCTGAAAGGAAAGAACAAAATACTCTGTAAAATGTGCAAATTAGTTCCCCCACTCCTCACGATAATGGTAAAGAAAATTGCTCATTATACAAACAATGTCCCTTGTTGAACTTAAAAAGATAAATTTACTGAATGGAAACTGAAGTGCCATCACAAAATTGCCTAAAAGAACAACAGAACATGCCTTCATTGTTCGGAGAGCACTGGCATTAATATTATGAAAGAACGATGTGTACTTCAGATGTCTAGACTCCAATCCACAATTATAGCAGTTCATCCGTTCAAAAATATCCATCCCGAAAAGAGAATGCACAGCACAAGCACTACTTGAGCAATCCCAAGAGCCCGTACAACTGCTATCTGCAGATTCAGCATCTGAACGACCTAAAGTTGATGTAAATGATCGATGCAGGCAATTGAATATTACACCTAGTACTTCAGAAGCATCATTCATTTGAGCCTGTAAGTCAATATTTCGTTAATTGGATTCAAAGAAGCTGAGTCCTAGTAAATTATGAAGCGCTCGATAGAGTTTCGCATTTACCTCCTGAAAGAAATTACTGTCGGGATAAAGGTTGCTGAGAGCAATTCTCAGAGAAGTAGGAGCAATAGCCTCTCTCTGCATCTCAGTTGAAGCCGTGTTCAAAGCAGTGAATATGTCATATAAAGCACATACCACACATGGATCACCCACATGATCATGTTCTGATGATGATCTTCGCAAAAAATCATCTCGAAATTGTCTTAGATGCCACAATGACTAAAATATGGCAAGAAAACAAGAAAAATCAGAGAAGGCACTTGAAATAGAAGAAAATTGGGAGCACAACAAACAAAGATAATTTGTCTATAATAATATAAAACAACGGATTAGCACTTGTAAGCATTGCTAACCTGTATAATGACATTTAGAAAGCAATTGTATTCTCCAACTTCATTCTTTAGCCCAGTGCCATATACATCATCCATTTCTTTGACATTTCCAAAACTAATTTCATTACCCAAATCCCCTGTTTCAGAGATCATCCTCTGTGCCCCTGAACTTGCCATCAAGGGAAATTTCTGATGTGCATGGAATGCATCTGACATAAAAGAAGAGAATGAGGACAGAAGTCACTTGAACAATCAGGACATGGAAAATATTAAAGCAGTTAATTCTTCAAGCCAAATGGAAGAACAAAAGCTGCCACCAGTTTTCAAGCTATAGCACGTCACTTTCCTTCAGAAACCATTAGAAAGGGTCTTAATTTGACAGATGGGAAAAACAGAAGATAGATAAGTTTTTTTTTTTTTGAAACTGATAACTTTAGGGTAGATAAGTAGTCTTCTGATCATCAAGCTTGAGCAGTGAACTATATACAGATAGAGAACAGCCTAGACTACTAATTCCCCAAAAAATAAAGAACACCCTAGATTAACAAACATTAAAACTATCTTGGGAACTTGTTCCCAGAAATGAAAAATAAATAGACATACCAAGACTTTGGCGTACAGCTCTCTTAAGGTCAGCTTGAAACCTTTCTTCATCATCCTCCTCCACATGTAGCTGTCTCAATGTCTTTGTTCCACTATCTCTGGTACCATTATTTTCTGGGGTTGAAATCAAATGGTAATGAATTTAGTTCACTTCAACAGAAGCAGATCATAGAACAGTTTGTAGTTTAAATTTCAAGGAAAAATATTGGAAGAGCACCTATTTACACCCACCGGCTTGTTTTTTTAAAAAAAAAATCTACAGAGGATTATGGGGGATCAAAAAGGGATAGGGTCTCAATTTGGCCCAAAACTGAGTGCAACTCCTAAAGTTTCTTTTATAGAAAGTGACTCCACCAATTTTATTCATAGAGTTGGTATTTAATTGTGCTCTCACTGTTTAGCTACAGAATAATACACAGCTTGAGTATGATGAAGTAATGCCACAATTACTATATAACTTATCTGAACCAAGATAACTTGTTCCTTTAAAGTTTAACCAATGAAGAAATGGAAAGAGATGATTGAGTTCACCAATCACTGTTACTAACACAAACAGAAATTAGCTTGGGCATAGATTTGTTTGTTTCAAAGATTCAGATAGATTTGTTTGTTACAAAGATTCAAATACAGGATGTGGTCTAATTTTATAAGTGACAGTTCATAAGAGCAAAATCGACCCAAAAAGTACCAACTCTAAAAGCTAAAAACCATCATAACATTTTAAACCTAGTAATCTATCTTTGATCAATTGAATAAATGAACTCTTTGTTTCAATATTTAAAAGATATTTTGTGTTTTAGTCATTGGGTTAACAAAACAACCCTCCTCCTTTCTCCGGGC